TTATGTTCTTTTGCTGGGGGAGAGAGAGGATCGTATAGGGGGGAGAAAATAGGGGAGAAGAAGAGAATGAAAAAAAAAGTAATTAATGTTTATGTGTAACAATTGTATATGTACAAATATTTAGGTTATCTGATCTCCTTTTGCTAATAAAATTTGTTGTTCGTAGATATATAATATGTTATGATTAAGTTAGTGTGTAGGGTAATTATCTCTTTATTTTTTTAATTTTTAGATTGGGCCGGCCGAGTGGAAACGCTAAGAACTTTTGACGACCCGACGACCAGATTAACTCTGGGCCATTGGATTCTTTTTGCTGTTGGAGATCCAACGGTCATATTTTATTTTATTTCAAGATGGTTTCGGGTCCGGGATCGAATCGGTCCTCCCGTACCGCTAACAGTAAGATTTTTAAATCTGGTTGTTGTATCATCTTGACCGTTGAGATTCAATGACCAGAATTGAACTGACCAGCCTGAACTGCCGGGCCAAACTGGAATCGGCAATTTAGTTAATAAAAGAAAAAACAACGAAAAAAATTCAATATAAATCCTATTAATCTAATTACCCACCCACCCATCCACCCCCACCCCTTTTTCAAATCCGATTTCGACACAATTTACAACATTTGACTTTTTGACATCAAATCCATTCCAACAAAGTAAGATTTCACATGTCTCACAGGTGAGTTTCTTCTATATTATCTTATAGGAGCGCATTTTAGCTCGCATTTTCACTCTTGCTTCTCTAAACGTTTCATTTAGTGTTTTAGTCAAAGTAAAGGGTGCCTTCAGGTAGCTCAACCAACTATTGAGGAGCGAAAGTCGACAAAAAGATAACCCTAAGATGTTCATGGTTATTGAGAACGAATTAAGCCAGATGGTTTTATTTCACTAACAAAAAGATTGAAAAAATAAGTCCTGATGAAGGCACCCTCTTCTTTTAGTCGAGCTACTTCGTTCCTCGGAAAGTTAAGGATTAGTATTATTTTTTAGAAATCGAATGGATTCGGTCTTATACATACGCGAGGAAGGTAATAAAAAAAAAGAAAAAAAAGATGATTTGGGACCAAAAGCAATTAGAGGTGAATAAGTATCTTAGGCTTGAGTTGAGTTGAAAGCACAAAATGTATTTGCACCATTCATGATCTTCGAGAGGGTAATTCTTTGAATTTAGAGACGAAAGAGTTCTTATCTCTAGGGGATTAAATCTCGAGTTATTGCGAAGTAAAAAACGGATGAGAATATGGGTAAGCCTCATCGTTGAGAGGGAAACCAGCTAAGGCCCTAACATGATCACTCAATGATAAAGGAAGTGGGGGTGCAGAGGTTTGCCTAGAAGCAGCTACCCTTCAAAGAGTCCGTAATAACTCACTGATCGAGTTTTTGTGCTCCGTTTGATAAAAAATCGGTCCGGTTTTATATAAATTTGGTTCTTATTATACTAATTCACTCTCATTTCGGTTCCCTTTATATAAATTCTTAATACATACTTTCTCATTTATAGTTTCTATTATTTTCACCTCTCTTTTTCGTTGTGCCCCTTTTGGTTTATATTATTTCTCGCATTTTATTTTGATTTGCTTGCCCTTTTTATTTCCTTTTATTTATGCTTGCATTTATTTATTATATGTTCTTGCTTTTATTTTTATATTATGTGTATTGCTTGATTTATATTTTATGTATTAGATAGATCGCTCGTCGTACCGTTCGGAGAATTTTCGGTTCAATCGCGTAGAGTTATTTTCGATCCGTTTCGACCCATTTTTGGTGCATTTAATCCAGCCTTGGAGTCAATATTTTCAGCCCTTATATTGCCTAATTTCGGCCCAAGTGATGATCCAAAACCGACCCACACGGCCCTTGACTTGGAGAGAGAGTTTTGGCTCCATGTGCATTGATTTTAAATTCAAACTCTTAAAGCTAACTTTGGTAGGATATAATCAGCTTTAAGGGAGCTCTTTGACCGGCCCCTCATCCTCTTAATTGGTCTTAATTGTTCTTTTTATAGTAGGCGTTAAATCTCCCTTGATTGCCTAAGATTTAAGGAGATTTTTCCTCCTCATTTTGCCTTCATTTGACTCGGCTTTCCCCTTAGTTAATAGAGCAAAATAAACCTCTTTAGACCTCTCTAAATTCTGGAGAAAATGTCCTTGTACAATCATCCAAAATCTCTCGTCTTCCCCTCACGCGCATAACCTCTCGCCGACGAACGAGTAGCCTTGCCGCGCGAGCACTCCAGTCCACGCGCATCGCCCAGCCTCATCGTCTCGCCACCACATGCCATCAGCCCTCTCGCAGCCTTTGATTGCGTTCAACCCATCCTCGAGGATCCACCTTCAGCCCAGCACGCCTCAGTCCAGGCAAACCCCATCCATTCGCTCATACGCAGCCGAGGCCGAAGCTTGCTGCCCGAGGCCTTATCCCAATCGAATCGGCCATTCTTGTGCTTGTAGATTCCCGAAGCTAGGTAATCTTTTCTTTTCTTCTTGATCTTTATGTGTTAGTGTATTATTCGTATAGATTCGATTGGTTAATGTTGGATCTATTTTGGAAGATTAAGATCTATTTAATTTATTAGAGAAATTGAAACATTTTGATCCCTTGTGAAATTATTATCGAAATTGGAACCCTATGATGCTATTGAGCTGGTTTTTTAGGCTTTGATTGAGTTTCGGGTCATTGAGGATTTTTGGTGAATTTCGGGCTGTGTTTTGGACCTCAAATTTTGTATTTAGCACCTTGATATGATGTCCAATATCCAGTAAAAATTTCGTGTGAAAACCATGTCCAAAACCCCTTGAACCAAATCCAAGTAGTCGACACCCTAGCCGCATCCGCAGACGCTGGCCGCAGCCGTGCGTGCAGGCTGCGACGCTGGCAGGCGACAGACGGCACAGTGAAGGTGCGGGAGCCCCTACAGCGTCGCGAGCAGCCCGCAACGATCACGTGCCAGCCGCATGATGTGCCTCCTTGCAATGCGGCAATCGAAGATGGGGTTTCGAGGAGGAGTTGGAATAGTAAAGGGAGGATCCGTAAGCCAAGGAGTAGCGGCCTAGGGGTAAGAGGTTTCAGGAGTAATATATACAAATTTTTCTTTCCATCTAGGAACATTTGAAGGACGATCGGCTATAAAGTGGGCATTGTTCTTACTCTTTAGGTACAAACTCCCAAATTGTTTGGAAGCTAAGTGGCAATATTGGAAAAACTCAAGGTCGATTCGACCTAAGCGGATAAAGGAAAGAATAATAAAAGTGGTTAAAACTCGGAAAGCATTTGGAGGAAGCTGGTTCGGGGACAAGCCATATACACTACACAGGTCGATAAGGGCGTTGCAAATAGGAAAATGGAGACCCACGTCGAATTGACACTGGAAAAAGGTGTAACATTCTTCAAGGGGATGATTATATGTATCATCATCACCAGGTGTATAAACAACCCTTGGTGGGCCAAATAGGTCGAGGTCGAGCCAGTTTGTATTGTGCACATAGGTCGAGCGTTTGGCTTTCGAACGGCTAGGGGAAGGGTTGGATATTTTTCGCGAGGGAATTGCAGGTTGAGGAGAAGGAGTCTCGAGTATTTCCCCATCCTTTTCTCTGTTCTTATCGTTCAGGTCAAGTGGTCGACGAGAAAGTGGAGAGGAAGGGAGAGGGACAGGGTTAGATGTACCTTCATCTGGGTTATCCACAAGATAGGTCGAAGGAGAGACAGTCTTAGTAGAATGACTTTGAGAGGGAAAAACTGGTCGAAGCATGTTCAGAGGTTGAACTTGGAGAGGTTGAATTTCCTTAACAGAATTACTGGAAGGGTTAGAGGTCGAAGAGGAAGGAGGAGTCACGTCTTTGCCACTGAGGTGGTCGTTTTCGCTCGATGTTGCAGAATATGGAAAATCAAGATAAAATGTCAAAAGAAAGAATTTTCGGGAAGAAGCTTTTCGGAACAGAAATAAGGCAGAGGGAGAGATGTGGTGTTCTGGAGAGGGGATTTGGGAGAAATTTAGGTCTAAAATCGGTAGCCCAAGAAGAAACAAAAATTCTAAAAATTTAAAGAAAGCACGAGTCAGAAAGATCAGGGAACTTACTCATCATTAACAATCGAGGCGGTTGCGGTGAAGTTTGAAACCTTGAAGAAGGTAAAAAATTCGAGGTTGCAGAAAATTTGA